CCTACGGGCTCAGGAAACCCACGATAAAAACGACCTTGTGTCGCATGCAACCCTCGTGGGGGTGGCTAGATACTGATTCAAGCCGATCTTTTCGGCTTGACGGTCGAACTCTGCTTTTGAGCAGAAAGGAACCCGGACGAGGTTCCGCCGAAGGGCAGAATCTCGTTCGGGGTGAATGACCTACCCGATCTCGTTTTTACGAGTTCATACGGGCATATTTTTGGCTGAGCCTACGGGCTCAGGAAACCCACGATAAAAACGACCTTGTGTCGCATGCAACCCTCGTGGGGGGGGTGGCTAGATACCGAATCAAGCCGATCTTTTTCGGCTTGACGGTCGAACTCTGCTTTTGAGCAGAAAGGAACCCGGACGAGGTTCCGCCGAAGGGCAGAATCTCGTTCGGGGTGAATGACCTACCCGATCTCGTTTTTACGATTTATACGGGCATATTTTTGGCTGAGCCTACGGCTCCAGGAAACCCACGATAAAAATGACCTTGTGTCGCATGCAACCCTCGTGGGGGGGGTGGCTAGATACCGAATCAAGCCGATCTTTTCGGACTTGACGGTCGAACTCTCTGCTTTTGAGCAGAAAGGAACCCGGACGAGGTTCCGCCGAAGGGCAGAATCTCGTTCGGGGTGAATGACCTACCCTATCTCGTTTTTACGAGTCATACGGGCATATTTTTGGCTGAGCCTACGGGGCTCAGGAAACCCACGATAAAAAATGACCTTGTGTCGCATGCAACCCTCGTGGGGGTGGCTAGATACTGAATCAAGCCGATCTTTTCGGACTTGACGGTCGAACTCTCTGCTTTTGAGCAGAAAGGAACCCGGACGAGGTTCCGCCGAAGGGCGGAATCTCGTTCGGGGTGAATGACCTACCCTGATCTCGTTTTTACGAGTCATACGGGCATATTTTTGGCTGAGCCTACGGGCTCAGGAAACCCACGATAAAAACGACCTTGTGTCACATGCAACCCTCGTGGGGGGGTGGCTAGATACTGAATCAAGCCGATCTTTTCGACTTGATGGTCTAACTCTCTGCTCTTGAGCAGAAAGGAACCCGGACGAGGTTCCGCCGAAGGGCAGAATCTCGTTCGGGGTGAAAGACCTAACCTGATCTCGTTTTTACGAGTCATACGGGCATATTTTTGGCTGAGCCTACGGGCTCAGGAAACCCACGATAAAAACGACCTTGTGTCACATGCAACCCTCGTGGGGGGGTGGCTAGATACTGAATCAAGCCGATCTTTTCGACTTGATGGTCGAACTCTCTGCTTTTGAGCAGAAAGGAACCCGGACGAGGTTCCGCCGAAGGGCAGAATCTCGTTTGGGGTGAATGACCACCCTGATCTCGTTTTTACGAGTCATACGGGCATATTTTTTGGCTGAGCCTACGGGCTCAGGAAACCCACGATAAAAACGACCTTGTGTCGCATGCAACCCTCGTGGGGGGTGGCTAGATACTGAATCAAGCCGATCTTTTCGGCTTGACGGTCGAACTCTGCTGCTTTTGAGCAGAAAGGAACCCGGACGAGGTTCCGCCGAAGGGCAGAATCTCGTTCGGGGTGAATGACCTACCCTGATCTCGTTTTTACGAGTTATACGGGCATATTTTTGGCTGAGCCTACGGGCTCAGGAAACCCACGATAAAAACGACCTTGTGTCACATGCAACCCTCGTGGGCGGGGGGTGGCTAGATACCGAATCAAGCCGAGCTTCTCGACTTGACGGTCGAACTCTCTGCTCTTGAGCAGAAAGGAACCCGGACGAGGTTCCGCCGAAGGGCAGAATCTCGTTCGGGGAGAAATGACCAACCCGATCTCGTTTATACGGGTCATACGGGCATTTTTTGGCCGAGCCTATGGGCTTGGGAAAACCACGTAAAAACTCGGCCTTGTGTCACATGCAACCCTCGTGGGGGGGTAGATACCGAATCGAGCCGACTTTCGCGGCTTGACGGTCGAACTCTTTGCTTCTGAGCAGAGAGGAACCCGGACGAGGCTCCGCCGAAGGACAGAGTCTTGTTCGGGGAGGTTGACCAACCCGATCACGTTTATACTGGTTCTACGGGCATTTTTTGACCGAACAAAAAAAACGAGTCATTTCCATAGAAAAATAACCGAGAATTCATAAAATGCCAATCAATGCAACGCTAAAATGCATAAAGACACATCTTTCTTAAAAATATTACCAACAATAGATTTTTGTAGTGAAATTATCGCAAATACATTTTTTTAAATAATAATAATACCTTTTTTACTACATGTAAATTACATACCTTCACTCTGAAAGTATAGAATTATGTACAAAATATTTAGATTTCGGCATAAAATAATCCATAGAAGTTGATATGCAGCTAAACAAAATCCATTATCATGCTTCAAGAAAAAGTTAATTCACTGGATAAATTCAAACATTTACTTGAAAGTTTCATTAAGTTTTTTTAAATGAGTTTACATTGATTATACAGGGTGCGATGGGTAAATTGTCGCCACATTTTTAATTTTTGCGCATGCGTTTTGCTTGATTGTGATTATGTCGACTGCACAGTATGGTAGCATAAGTTGGGCAACGTCTGTGAGAAAAAGAGCACCATGACGCAATTCACTCTGCCAGAAATTTGGAAAAACGGCATGCTGTACTGCTTAGCATTGGCGCCAGAAGCTCCAATACGGACATTTCAGAGTGTCTGCCTCTCAATCTGAAGACAGTGTAGACTATTAGGAAAGATCTGTGTATATATATATATATATATATATATATATATATATATATACGTATGTATGTGTGTATATATATATATATATATGTGTGTGTGTATATATATATATATATATATATATATATATATATATATATATATATATATATATGTTAAGAAATGGACAAGGTCCGACAATTTATTTATTAAAGACATTTTTATTTATGTTTAAAATAAAATAAAATATGTATAAAATAACAACGTTAAACATAAATAAAATGTCTTTAATAAATATATATATATATATATATATATATATATATATATATTTATATATATATATATGTATGTATGTATGTATATATGAAAGTGGATATTGAAATGAGAATTGGTATCATAAAGAAGTTAAACTTAATTTGCAACCAGGATAATTTGATACATCGTAAGAACTGAACTTCTTTCGGTTACCAGGTTTTCTCCCGGCAAACGTCGCAGAAAAGAATTCCTTTTCTCCAAGATCTTTTAACAGACTGAAAAAAAATTCACACAAAAACAAAATGAAAACCTAAAACACTAAACCCTACGAACACGCGTGTGAACACTAAGATATATATGTATATACACTTATGGGGGACTCTCCCGCCGTATTCGACATATAAAGACCAAGCATCTCAGTAAGTAGGAACTGACAGCGCAGACACCATAACACATGATTTGATTATAGTGGTGAAGGTTTTGTGCATAACCAACCACACTTTTTAAAGGGCCAAGTAGTGAGACATGGTGCACGACGTGCCACAAGATTCCCAAACGACCCTCCACAGGATTTAAATTCACAGTTGTCCTGTCCTTCTCCTAGACAAGCTGCCATCCAATATATATATATATATATATATATATATATATATATATATATATATATATTTGTGTGTGTGTGTGTGTGTCCGAAAAGACTCTAAATAAACTAAAACCCGAGTACCCATTAAAATACAAAGATATAAACACACGCACACACACATACACATATATATATATATATATATATATATATATATATATATATGTGTGTGTGTGTGTGTGTGTGTGTGTGTGTGTGTGTGTGTGTATAAAATTGATATATTGCTTTTCTTGTGGATTTAAGGGTGTTATTATATAAACTTAGTTAAAAAGAGATATTTTGACATAAAAATATCATAAAAATTACTTGCACATTTTGTAAATCACCAAGCGTGAAACTGCGTTGTAAAGAGCTAAATGAAACTGAATATAAAAAAATCAGAAAACGATATCAACATAAGTATTAAAAAATTAAATCAAAGCATCTTGTCTGTCGTATGCAATGTGCACATATATATATATATATATATATATATATATAAGATAATCGTAAAGAGCCAAGCAAACCTACCAAGGTTTCACCGAAAAAGGATCTTCAGGGCGTCAGGGCTATCCGTTTCGGTGAAACCTTTGTAGGTTTGCATGGCTCCTTAGGATTATCTTAGGTTTCGCTCTACTTCATGTATTGAGCACCTTACGTAGTTGTCTTTTACTCGGGTTGGTGGTTTTTTTCTTTGGACTTAGAGTTTGAACTCTGGACGATTGTTTTCGCCTTAGTTTAATGTTCTTGGTTCTTTTTTTTATTCCTCATTTTTCCTTGTTTACCGATTTCTTCTACTACAAGTCGAAATTTCCAAGGTTTTTCCAAGCGAGTACCACCATTTACTTATTATATATATATATATATATATATATATATATATATATATATATAATTAATTCATCGAATCTGATAGAAACCTCAACAGAATTTCGTCCTATATCTATGGGACTCATCAGCAGTGCGCATCCACTTTCGAGAATTGAAACCCTGACAGTTAGATTGTCAAGCAAACATCATACCAACTGTTCCAAACGGGACTCGGTGACGAAGAGATTGCAAATCAGATTCAACATAGCGCCGCTCGCTCAAATATTCCGTGGTGGAACCATACTGCGTTCTCTGTGTCCCCCTGGAGCCACGACTACTCTCACCAAGCCGCTCACACTGGAGCATTAGAAGCCGGTTCAACAGAATGCTTTCTGCATTCTGTTGAGGTTTCTATCAGACTCGATGAATTAATTAAATATAATTATCAAATCCTCCTAATAATTAATATATATATATATATATATATGGTTATTTAAATTACTTATATTGGATCATTTCTTCGTTTTCAAAAAATCTCACACATATTTTCATATTATCAAACCTGAAACTTCAATTTACAAAAACCTATACTCTTCGTGAAGTCTAA